AGTTTATCAAATTGTATAAGTATTGCAATTTTGCATCTAATTCGCTATTATAACGCAATAATGATTAAATGGGGCAATGGTTTGCGGTTTAATTGGGTGACGGGTTAAGCACACACAGGTGCAATTTACCACGAGCTAAGTGAACCGTAACGAAGGTAGCCTATCGAATGAAGTGCTTCGGAGGTCGATTGACGAGAAGAGAGCGAACGTGTCGTTAACAAAGTAATTTTTCAAACGAGCAAGCATTATTCCTAAGTTAAGCCGATGAGGGGGTTTATCGGACGTGCACGTCGGCAAAACAAATGGCTATTCGGCGTATATATATAATTCTCCTATATTATATTTGCGAAATACATGTGTGTAGATGCACATACATACATAACGTCAGATGGAGAGGCAGAAATTATATCCCATATTCGGCACTGCAAATGAGATAATTTCCCGAGTGTGATGTGAGACGTCGTTATTCTCATAATTAAAAGTTTAGTTCCTAACTTGCGACTGTGTTTAACTGTGCTCTATAATTTTCCTAATTATTTTAGGAGGCAAGTTCCCCGTTTTGTGGTCACGCATACCCGATCGTTGACTTCCTTCATCTATATATTTGATAACATTCAATATTTCACATACTTCGCGAATAATCCTCATGTTCCTTCTACCCATAAAAACTTTATTCGCAGACGTGGACGTTGCAATGACATCGTCCTGTATCTGAGAAAGTAGAAAGATAATATCCGTTCACTCCGCAGCGGTAATGCGAAGAAAACTTAAGCTTCTACTGAGTATATACTTTCTTAAAAATTGATGCTTTTACCATGGACACGGTGGAATCGATGGAGCTAGTGGAAACTTCTCTGTTTCGTACTGAAATAACGTTAACCTGCTTTAATATCAACAAAGTTGTGGCACATCTTAGAGATTATCCTCGTGAGGAGGAAGGAAAGTTAAATAAGAAAAATCAAGTGTGTTTCATATAGGAACAGCTAAATCTTTATATTCTCTCTCTCTCTCTCTTTCTCTCTTTTTAAAAAGCGTAGATCTATTTCTTTCTTTTGTCTAAATTGTGTAATAATATTATTTTATTTTATAAATTATAAATGCTTAATTTATACATCATAAAGATTACTTAAAAATTTGGAAACCTTGCTGTCAAAGAAATATCCGAATTATTTCCAATTTTCTATTCGATATTTTCTGATTTATTAATAACGATCGCCGCTCGAAGCAAAAGATCTGGCGTGTAGCGAAAGCATGAGGAATACGAGTCGCGATGCACGTACGACAAAGAGTCGTAAACTACCAGCCGTAAAGCCCAAGCATTTACGAACGTACACTGGAATCAGATTCTTTTCACGAGAAAGTTTTTCACACTGTACTCACAACTACAACATTTCATTCAGAAAAATCGTAGTTGTAGTGATGAATTAACACTGAATTTATTACAACTCGTACAATATATGCGAGAATATTTACATATATAAGTAAAAATTACATGTAAATAAAAATTACATGTAAATAAAAATTACATATGCATGAAAATTTTAGAATAGGTCCATAAAAGTTATTTTATCATCTACTTTCTCTTACAACTATGTAATAATATATTCTACAATTCGTTAAAATGGCTTAAAAGTTCTTATTTAATTTAGTCTTGAGATTATATTAATAAAATGTTATAAATCCGTCGTCGTTAAATTTAGGACGGAAAAATATAACGTTCAAAATTTTTTAGAGCATCAATGTGTATTTCATTTTAAAAGGGATAATAGCAAAACAAAATGATGTCTAATTAGATCAAGAACCTATAGTGCAGATTGTGATGTCGCTTGCAGTAGTACGAAAAAGGTTGAGATCAAGTGGGATCTTATAAGTCGTTCTTTTGTCCAACGTAATAACGAAATATAATAAATAGCATGTTGTTACACCAGCTCTCTGGCAAACCTCCAGGTTGTTGCCGACATGATTCGTCGTCGAAGGTTGTAAAAGGGATATAAGCTCGGGAAACAATAATACATTTGATCTAATCAAACATATTATTCACGAAAGAAAATAATACACGAAAACAATAATACCAGAGTTTTATATTAAAACAATTGGAATTTAAATAAAATACAATAGTTTTTTTTACAAAAAAAAAAATATTGAACCAGCTAATGATGCAATAGAAATATTGGTGTAGAACTATATATATCAATTTATCTTTCTACAGTTTTATGTGCTTTTATGAAAGCTCAAATCCATCTTATTGTTACAAGTATTTTCTCACTTCTAAATACATATAATGATGTATACAGCTAAATCGACTTTCCGTTGTTCAAGTATGATAGATATATGTATTAATCTCACAAATACCATTTTTTTCGTTTTTATAAATAAAAGCTATACTGTCCCCCCCAACGGGTTTATTAATCCAACGAGCCATGAGTGTAAAAATACGCAGCTAAGTGTCGGTAGATTTATCATGTCTGCGGAAAGATGAAGACGAATGTCTCGTAACAATTAATGACTGTTACTTTCCTACGATGACGAGAGCATTTCAGAAAAGTAATCACAATATATCTTCATACGATCATTAATAAAAAACAAATTTAATTTAATATCAGGTATTAAAATAAATACAATTAGAGGATTCAGACAAAAATATATATCGCAGAAAATTATAAGGTATATTATATTCAATAACTGTAAAAAAAAAAAAGTAAATCAGAAAGTAAAGTATATAATAAATTTTGTAGTTTCAATTAAAAAAAAAAAATTTATATTTGTTTATTTTGTACATATTCTGGTATATATATTGTAGTAAATCCGTTCTTTAGGATATACAGTAAAAAATATCAAGCATTATATACATTGTTTATATCATATGTATATCTATTTCAATTTAATTGAATTCGCAACAAGTCAAGCGTGAAAACTTTAAATTGTGAGATTATTCTTGAAATTCAATCGCTGACTTAAATCCTGTAAAAAACCCTTCTCATTTCCATTATAATTCAAGTAATTCTTTCACCGCTTCGGTTATCTGTAAATTGATTAGCAAAGTCGACTTTAACTGATGCGTAAAGCCGATTAAAACGCAACATCAGAAACTTGTTAATCTCGTTAGAAATGTGCATAATAGTAGCAGTATAGCTGAATTATGATTCGTGAAAAGAAGGGCAAAATTAGAACGACTATAGAGTTCGCGCTCATTTCAGGCTTCACAGGCGCAACCGTTCAAATTATTTCCTCGTTCCAGAGAAATTACTATCGTGTACTTTTTGCTAAGGTTCTTTGCATCTTCCTGCCAACGTTATCCGATGGCGACCGGTACGGCCCTTCCGGTAATTTGCTTTTTCCCCTCCTGGTTTGCTTGGCTCCTTTCTACAGTGGTGCCTACCACTCTTCTTCTTCCTTGAAAATTTAATCGCGGAGCCGCGACGTCGCCTTTAATGCGATTCTTCGCCGCGTTCCTCCTTTTACCTTGCCTCGTTTTACCGAAGTTTTATTTCATGCCGTCGACATCCGCCAACGCGAGACTTTCTAAAAGAGCCATCCGCGTCCGTTGCGGTTAATAACGGCAACCTTTTCCCCGAGGATACTCACTAAATCTTAAAGAAGAAAAAACACTTGTGTTTCGGTATTGCAGCATTGGTTAAATATCCAGCCAACACCACTGGAAAAGTCAGAAGAATAAATCGATTTTCGATATTAACGAATGCTATTCCAAGGACTGGTTAGCGAAATTAAATACGTCCTTCGGTTTGGAGCGGAATCACGGTCTAAATTTTGCAATCGTAAGCTAGGATCCAGGAACCAATTTCGACTCCTACATTCAATTTCGTCTTACTTCAACTCTTCGTTCAAATACGTTAACATTTTAAGAACGCTTACAACGACGAACGAAGCGTATAATATGATATCCAGCCAGTCGTGAAATTACGAGATACTACAAGAGATTCTGAATCGTAATTTTTATGAAAAATCTCATCTTGGATAATAGCGAACGTAACATGACGAAAATGTACTTGTCCTACATGAGATCTTGCTTGACTTTATGAAGCGCGAAATAAGTATTTATTATTAATCTCGTACAATTTATTAATGATAGTACAATTAGTAATTATAGCACGGAATTAATATTTTACAATATATATTTTATTTCAATTATAAATAATATTAAAAAATATCTATAATAATTAATCACTTCTATTTACAATCGTAATTAATGTTTATGTTAAAATAACTTGTAGTATTACGCATGTCATTTGCTACAATCAAAAATCAAAATTTTCCATAAAAAAAATGAATTTTAATGCTTTAAATTATTAAAATTTTGTGATATATTAATTAAAAAATCCAATTTTGTAATAACTTTTTGTTTTAATTATAAAAGAATAAAAGTATATATTTTTTTTCCTTAAGATAAGTCCCATTCTTTTTCTGCATGTAACCACAAAAAATAGCAACTTTTTAGTTACGTTATCGTGGCAAATGAGTGATATGTGAAAATATATTTAAAAAAGGGGAATAGAATTGGATTAATCGTCATTGACTTGAGTAATTTAAAAAATGGCTGTTGAGTCTTCAGTCTAACTCACATTTAGTCGTATTTCTAATGCTCACAGACGAAATCAACAACTCAAATTACTGTCTGCCCGTTTCACTTCGAATCAAATTACTTAGCCGTCGGCGGTACATCGGGTCGTAATTGCGAAGGAAACTTCTCAAAAGATGCTTAAGTTCAGGAAAACTTTCTTAGGCTCGTTCTCAAATTTACATTTTCCGCGTTCTAGCGAAGACTTTATCAGTCTACGACGACTTTTACCGATGCAGTGCCATCACCCTGGTATAATTAAACTTGTCGCATATCCTTTCGGAACGTCGTATCTATTACTCGAGAATGTAGCGGTCTCGAGTACTTCGCCGCAATCTATGTCGACACATTTCATAAAATTTCATTACCTTTTCACGATAGTTATCGCGGTTCGTTAACATTGAGACTACTTTCTGTTGAGCAGGAGCGAACGGATGCGCTGGACAGAATTGGCCCTGGAATGGTAATCGCGGCGCGGCGATAATAATGGCTATCATGGCGGCCATCCTGTTCCTGATGATGACATCACTGACGATGACGGTACCCCCAATCATGAATGTACTACCGAGGTGCGAGCCGACAATTAGCAGGTAGCTCGCGGGTATCCTCAATGAAGATATCGCTGCCACTGTCTGATCCGATTACGTCGTCCATGTAAAACCTAGTAGTCTAGGGCTTCCAGTTATATATGTTACTATGTATAGAATAGATAGTCGAATAACGATGATTTTTATTCTCGAGGAGCCTATGAAACAGAGAGGAATTGGTGAATCGCTGGCGGATCGATGCGGGGCTACGCGTAATTCATATATACAGTTACTTTTAAACATGTTGTCTTTTGATGTAAATTGTTGATCACTAATAAAAAAAAAAATGAAGAAAACAGGATAGAACAGTGTCCGAGACATAGGCAGGAACAATGTTACTTAACGCAACGAGATGAACGAAGAAATTGTTACAAATCAAAGAAGATCAGCTTCGTAGCGATGATGATTAGACTCGAATATTCCATTAACGAAGAAATGGAGAAGAGAACGAGGGGGGGGAGAGGGATTTAACTTTTTTTACGTTTTGATTTAAATTGTCCGACGGAACACACATCGAGTGCTGTAAACGCGATATTTATTAGTGATCGGAGTGTTCACCAAGTGTCAAATATAGATTATACAGGGGTAATTACATGATAACTGATATAATAACGTTAGCGCAGTAACGAGTGGCGTTCTGCTCAATATTCGCTCCTTTTATGATGTCTAACAGGAAAAAAAAAAACGCATCATAGGTACCGATTTGTAATCTGTACAAATTGTAATAAATTATAATACGAACCGTAAACAAGGCATATCACATTATTAGTACGCACCACTGACGGTATATTTTACACCATTATTTAATTTCGTTTCTTTATATTATGCGCAGAGCTTCTCTCATCAAGGAATGAGATCAATTCAAATGCTAGGTAAGTATATTTTACTCTTTACGCTCTCTTTCTGTGTTTTATTATTCTTCAGCATAATTATCGTATTTATCTGTATATATTTTACTACCACTTTCATATTTTATTTCATACAGCACTCATATTTCACGGCACGGCAAACACTCGCAATCGGAGAACAACCGGTATAATTTCAGGCTTATGTGCTCTTAAAACTGTAAGCCTTAATCCAGAAAATGCTTTCAAACTTTTATACCTTCAAAGCGAGTTAATATTGATCCATCCATTTCACGCGAGTACGCACGCGTTTGCACAAAGTACTCTTAGTCTTCGGCCCGGCTTAGCATGAAAATAATTATTATTCGGCTGCGCCAGTACTCTCTCTTTCTCTCCCCCTTCTCGCTTTCTTTCTTTCTTTGAAAACATTTCTGTATTCTTGCTTTCGCGTTCGTAGAAACGTTTTAACCTTTACGACTACCCATGTCAATTCTACAGGAGGATTCTAATTGGACCAATCTCAGTTAGGATCGAAGTGTCTGACATTTAAAAGCACTTCTCCCTCGTCAAACGAGAGTGCGCGAAGTCTTGTTCATTATGCAATATGTTAATGCCTGGACTATCAGTTTTAGGACTTTCCAAACTGTGTATATACGAATGTTCTTAATGCTCACAATTAAAATCCAAAAACAAGAGGCGAAATGAAAAAATAATAAGCTTATATTTTTTTTAAACAAGGTATTAATATAATTCTAATACTTTTGTGAATTTCTGTTTCCTAAGAATTTTACTATATACTCTTCTAAAGAGACTACTACCAAGGCGAAGTGAGTAGTTTGAGAAGTCTTGTTAAATACCGAATAGAATCTCACAGATGAGGAGAAAAAGGTAAAGAAAGACGAGCAGGGGAAAGTAGCAAGAGTCATGAAAATAGTTGGATTAGCTACTCCGAAGGGATTGGCAAATTGCAGGAATTGCAGGAAACGTCTTATAAGCGTTTCCACCGGTAAATTAGATCGCTCGTAATTCTGCCTCACCGCGGAACGAGATATATTGTCCGTGTATGACGATGTACAGGTACGCGTGGTGCTGTAGTGGCAGGTAGTGGGGAAGACGAAAACGTAATTGCGATCGCCGTGAAATTGACATTAATTAAACGCGCAAGAGGGACGTAACGAGGCCAGGTAGCCATTCGGACCGTTTGGTTTGCAGCAGAAATTAAAACTCGGCTACATGCAGTATGTGCCGCACGTGTCTGACTTGCCGCACGTGCAGTTCTACTTCTTAACGTCACATGACACATGGCTCTCGCAAAGGTCTTGATTCAAACCACTTACTCTAACGCTCGACATCTTATCGCTCCGCTTATTCGAATTACGTTTCCTACGTGTTACATGTGTGATATATTGCAATAATGTAAGAAAAAGATAAAAAAATTTCATATAACGTATTCGAAATTGATTTAAATATATTATAGATTTATAAAATTATTGCAATTAATATGTAGCGATAAGATGGTACTTGAACAAAGCTTATAGAATGAATAAAAAGTCCCATCCATTCGTTTCTGCTAAAAAATGAGAAAAAAAAGACCTGCTTTTTAAATATATTGTTACAAAGAGAAAACAAAATAATTATTGATTATTTGTGAGGTTTGAATTACAATAATACGATTAATCAATTTGATACTCTCTCCCATTGTTACAATAATAGAATATCTCGAAACTTGTGCAAGGATTGTGTTCTCGTAGCTTAATATATAATCTACATTGATAAACTGAATAGAGAGTTTATTACACCTTGGGCATTCTATCCCGATAATTGAAGAATTAATACCTCTCCAAGGATATTAAGGACAACCGCGAATACCTCGAAGCAGGTCTTATCGTAAAGCCTTGGACATCTTATCCGGTGAAAGTTTATACCGAACTAAAACTATCTATTACTCTTAAAGTTCCCTGAATCGTGTTCCACAGAGGAAAAGAAAAAGACGAAGACGATGAGAAAAAGACAAAGAGGAGCAGAGGAAAACTGCAGATCGCCATTCCGATACTTAATCCATTCTACTACGATGCATCAAATTACTCTTAAGCGAATCTAAAAGCTTTATTTCCCAAGAATATTCGTCGTTTCGCGACATATCATTATACTTGCAGTTGATAGATATTGTGCAACATGTACATCATTCCGCTGTAGATAGATTATACATTTTGTCGTAAAATTATTATTACGTTAAGATAATCAATAAAATTTTAATACAGCAGATTATAATGGCTCTCAATCTAAAAATTCATTTCCGTGATGCCGCGATCAAATTTTTCTTGATAAATATACCATAAATTATTTTAACCGTGGTAGAAATTTTAAATCTTTTCCTGGACAATTATTACGTCTGTTTATAATAACTACAAAAGTATATAAACTAAAAAATTAAGATTGAATTTTTTTAACATTTTATTTGCAGTTACTGCATATAAAAAACGCAAAATCTGGACTTTTTATTTTCTGAAAACACTTGCAAACAAATAAATAAACTACACAGTAATTTAATTAATAATAAATCCCTACTCTGTAAAGCTAGACAATAATTGGGCAGATATCTACACAATTTGTACTCATTTTTACCAGGAAAATTGTTTCAGCTACTAAATAAAACTTGTCATTGTACTTCTCCATTTTCAATGCAATATTGTTACAATTAATGAAAATACAGTAACACTGGACAGTAATTGGATAAATGTCCAATAAAACTTTATACATTTTTACCAGGAAAACATATTGTGATTAATCCTCTATACATATAAATCTATTATATTTGTCAATAAATGTAATCTCAGATAAATAGACACATGAAAATATCGGTTTTGCCGGAGTATCTAAAAATTTACATAGTTAGATACAGATTTTAAAATAATTTTAAACCATCAAAATCATGTAGAATGCTCAAGCTGGTTACTAAAATATTGAATTTTTTTAACAGTATATTGCCTATTTATATTTAAGTTTTCTACATAAATATTTTGATGATTTAACAAATTTATTTTCAGCTCTACCTAACTAAATTTTTAGATATTTTAGCAAAATCGTTCTTTTCGTGACGACATCTACTTGCAAATCATTGTGGCCTACATGTACCATATACTGAAACAAAAGCTGATGTCAATTTATTTCGTAATATTTCAAATACACAGAGGAAATGTCGAAAGACATCGTGCCATCTCGTTAACGATTTCTGCAATTCAAGCACGCCCGGTAACCGGATGCATCAAAATCCATAACCAGCGACGATAGCTGCCGTTCGTTACATTCGCGTTAGTTATCTCCTAGCGACTGGTTTCGTCCAATTAAAGTGTCGTAACAAGAGCAACTAAAGAATATAAATCGCAGCGTTTATAGCGAAAAAATTCCGCGATGTTGAAGTATTCTAAAAAGGGATTGTCAATGTTTTAATTGATATACAATTGGAGTATTGGCGCTACTCGGCTTCAATACATCTATATATATTACAACAAATATATAATTTATTGTATTGGAGATGGCTTTCTTTTAGTCTCTTATCAATTGTTTTACAAGAGGCTCCCGCAGCATAATACCATACTTTGTACCGAACTTCTAAGTCCCGTCAACAACACAACTTGTACTGCTAGTTTAAATCCCGATCTAGCACGAGTCTTAGGTCAGACTTGGCTAACGTGAGTTTCTATTGGCGAAGTTTAGTCGAGTTAAAGAGATCCAGTCTGCACTGGAACAAGGCATTACGCACTCGAACCGCGATAAAGTAACAAGTAACAACGAGAGAAGTGAGAGGAGATGAATTAGCATATCATTCTCACATTTTAGTGATAGAAATGGTACATAACTCGATAAGTAAATAACTCGATTTGCCTCTGTATAGCGACTTCATTTCAATTTAGTGCCAAAGTCGATGCACAAAATAATGAGTTACATTAATTAATGCATTAAAGAAACCCTACAATAACATAAATAACCTCGAAATTGCATACATTGAACTTGTATTGTTTAATTAAATAAGATGTGAATGTAGTTTTTCATTTATCAGGAGGATTAATAAATATTATCGACTTATCAGAATAAAAAAAATTGATTAATATAAAACAAAATTGTCCGAAAGGCTGCAACGTATAGGAAAAAAATATTGCGGAAGAAATGAAAAAGTAGAAAAAGAAGTGCGAGGAAAGGACGATAAGAGAGGCATGAACACGCGAGAGACTGTCGACTTGGCACGCTAGAAGTGAGAGGATATGGACCGTTTCCGTAAACTATCAAGAAATTGCATTAACATGGTTATCGCCGGCGGCAAAAGCAGAGAATTCCCTTAGGATTCGTACGGTTCTTTGCTGCGGGAAAACTTTGGTGAGGAAAAAAGAAAAGTTACGAGGGAAGTTGCGGAGTTAACCACTAATAAGTCGTCTCCACCGAGAAAATTTACAACAAATATTTATTTTCTTGCTACTGGCATTTTTCACCGCTTTCCGGAAAGTCAAATGACATAAAACGTAGGTATCCTTTATAAGATTTGCAAGATTTAATAGCACCATTTGTATATAGGATTTTACAAAAAATTTTGTTCTGTTTCGGTAAAATTATCACACATTTCATCCAGAGATAGGTAAAAGAATACCCGTTAAAAACCAGCAGAAATTTAAATATAAAAAGAACGTCCACTTTCAAAGAAGTATTAATACAATTGTCCGAGTTTTTCCTCATCGAAGACAAAATTTATTCGAGAGTATTAACAGCTGTGGAACAGTTAAAATGCAATCGTTCGCGATTTGTAACCGGTGACAAGTCGGACGAAAAAGATAACGCATAGAAAGGGATTGTATGCGACTTTTCCTTTTTCGGCTGCAATTTCATCTACATTTTCCTTTTG